GGCCGAGCAGCTGCGGGCGGCGCAGAACCTGCGCTTTGAGGACGTGCCGGCGCTGCGGGCCTTCCCGGGTTTGCAGGAGCGGCTGAGGCGCAAGCAGCTGGAGGCCGGGGACGCGGTCCTGGACCAGCTCGGAGAGCGGCTGTAAGGGAGGAGGCTCCTCCGCGCTCGTGGCGGGGGGGGGCGGGTAATTTTAATAACACATCTTTTATGAGGATAAAATTAGTTAAGACAGCGAGTCCTTGAAAAACATAGCTTTAATTCGACATCGCTTTACTGGGACTGATACATGTTCAATGAATATTTGTAGAAATGTGCAAACAAATGGATTAATAAATAAAAGGGCGAGCCAAAAGGATCATTAAATGTCTACTATCCAAGGAAACCATGCATTTCTATCTCAGGAAGAGGCTACATACTGGGTAATTAATAATAACCCTCTGGCCCTAACGGTTTGGCTCAGTGGATAGAGCAACAGCCTGCAGGCTTAAAGGTCCCAGGTTCGATTCCGGTTAAGGGTATGTACCTTGGTTGCGGGCACATCCCCAGTAGGGGGTGTGCAGGGGGCAGCTGATCGATGTTTCTAACTCTCTATCCCTCTCCCTTCCTCTATGTAAAAAATATATTTAAAAAATAAATAACCCTCTGGCCCAGAAGACCTTAAGATATTATATGGTCTTTTAGAGAAAACATTTGACTACCTGCAGGGGTAGATGATGGTCAGTGCTAAAGAGATTAAAACAAAAAAAAAGCAGAGAAATGAGATGGGGAGTGAGAGGAAGCATTAAATTTGCGGCTTTTTTTTTTTTTTAAATCCTCACCCCAGGATATTTTTTCCATTGATTTTTAGAGAGAGTGGAAGGGAGGGTCTGAGGCGGGGGAGAGAGAAAGAAACACTGATGTAAGAGAGAGACATGGATTGGTCCCACCCCACCCCCGTGCGCAGGCTGACGCTTGAACCTCGGAGCCACCGGCGGGGCACACCTACTTCCTGCCGCGATCTCGGAGGACCTAACTGAGGGAAGGTTGGTGGGTGAGCAGCGGGCTCCAGGGCGGAGCCGGAGACCCTCCGCGGCACTTACCGAAGTAGTCGAGGCAGTTCATCTCGCGCAGCGCCTTGGGGAGCCGCAGGATCTCGATGTTGTACAAGTTATCCATCTCCTTGAGGATGTTCAGCCCGTCGGACAGAATTTGCTTGGATCGTATTTGCACTGCGATAGAGCAAAGTCGACAGAACCGGGGTCCCCGGTGGGTGAAGGGAGCCTGGAACCCGTGCTGCCCGCGCGCGGCCCATCCGCCAGCACCCCGCGATCGCCCCGTAGCCGCGACGACCCGGGCTCGGCCCTTACCTTCACGGTCGAAGTCCTTAAGAAAGGAGGCGAGCTTCCGGTCCCGTAACAAGTTGGTCTTGGTCACCCGACGGCTGCCCTTCCTAGCCGGGGCCATGGCGCCTCAGTGGCGGCTGCGGGGAGCGGAGAACCGAGCCCCAAGGGGTTAGAGGCGGAGACAAGGGAGGGAAAGTAGGGGGCCGCGAAGGCGCGGGAGAGGGGGGACGCGCGCCCCAAAAGGTTCGTGGAGCGGGCTGACCTTCGGGGCCTGAGCGTAAAGCAGTCGGGAGGAACGTACCTGCGGATCCCAAAACAAGGGGAAACCTCGCCGCTCAAGCAGCAGGGGAGCGGCTCTGGGGCTACCGAGATGTGCGACCGCCGTCACGAAATTCAAACTGCCACAAGCTGACGAATGAGAAGTCGCCGTCTTAGAAGGCGGTCCACGACACCCAATCACGAAGAAGCTCCGTGTCGGCCGCCGGCTCACGCGTAGGACTACAGTCCCCAGAAAGCATTGCGGCATTACGACATATTTTCGCGACTTCACTGCTTAGCGCACCGGGCTCAGAGGAACTGTGGCCGTAGGCCAGCGGTTCCGGCGGGTCCTCAGAATTGGACGGGCGCTGAAGCGACCGGCCGACCGAAGGGCAAGAGACAAGATTCCGGAAGCACAACAGGTCTGGCGCTGGGGCGGCCGGGCTTGGGCCCCGGGCATCCGCCGTCTGCAACCCAGTAAGATCCTCCTAGGGACAGTCGGGAAACCCTTCCCGAGTGGGGAGACG